ATGTGGCAAAGTCTTTATGCGGTTCTCAGCCCTTTCTACACACAAGAGAATCCATACTGGAGAGAAACCTTTCAAATGTGAAGAATGTGGCAAAGCTTTTAAGCACTCCTCAACCCTTACTACACATAAGATGATTCATACTGGAGAGAAACCCTACAGATGTGAAGAATGTGGCAAAGCCTTCAACACATCCTCACACCTTACTGCACATAAGATAATTCATACTGGAGAGAAACCCTACAAATGTGAAGAATGTGGCAAAGCTTTTAACCATTCTTCATCTCTTACTACACATAAGTTCATTCATGCCGGAGAAAAACCCTACAAATGTGAAGAATGTGACAAAGCTTTTTATCGATTCTCATTCCTTACCAAACATAAGATAATTCATACTGGAGAGAAATTCTACAAATGTGAAGAATGTGGCAAAGGCTTTTACTGGTTTTCAACCCTTACTAAACATAAGAGAATTCATACTGGAGAGAAACCCTACAAATGTGAAGAATGTGGCAAGGCCTTTAATGTGTCTTCAAATCTTACTACACATAAGATGATTCATACTGGAAAGAAACCCTACAAATGTGAAGAATGTGGCAAAGCCTTTAACTACTCCTCAAAACTTACCAAACATAAGATAATTCATACTGGAGAGAAACCTTACAAATGTGAAGAATGTGGCAAAGCTTTTAACCAATCCTCAAACCTTACTACACATAAGATAATTCATACTGGAGAGAAGTCTTACAAATGTGAAGAATGTGGCAAAGCTTTTACCCATTCCTCACACCTTACTTCACACAGGAGAATTCACACTGGAGAGAAACCCTACAAATGTGAAGAATGTGGCAAAGCTTTTAACCAATCCTCAAATCTTAGTAAACATAAGATAATTCATATTGGATAGAAGTCTTACAAATCTGAAGAATGTGATAAAGCCTTTAACCAAACCTCAACTCTTACTAAACATAGGAAAAATTATCCTTGAAGGAAACCCTACAACTGTGAAGAATGTGGAAATTCTCTCAACCAGGGCTCATAACTTACTAAACAAAATAACTCGTAGCAGAGAGAAACTCTACAAATGTAAGAATGTCCTCAACTCTTAAAAAGCATTAAGAAAAATTCTGTATAGAAATCCCATGAGTGTGAAAAACATGGCAAAGCCTTTAAGAACACATAACAGCTGCTATGCTCCAGGGGAGGGGTCCCCATGCCAATGTGCAACTAGATTTTGATCCCCAGGCCTATGCCCAAGTGTCTGTATGCTCTCAGGGCTTGGGACCAGATTCCCAAAAGCAGAGTTTAATAGGGATCTTTTATAAATGTTCAACAAGGGCCTCAGGAGCCATTTATTGAGTTTATCAATTGGTTAACCCAGGCAATTAGAGAGAAATTTGTCACACCCAGGCAGCTATCTTTTTGTTGCAATTGACTTTGGAAATGCTTACGTGGATTGCCAGCAAGCAATGCAGGCAATCAGAGGAAAGGCAGTTACAGCTGGGGAACTTACATGAGCATGTCAGCTGGTCGGAACTGAGACACACAAAGCCAAAATCTTGGCTATGGCATTAGGCCTCCTAAAGTGAAAAGGGAGAGAAATCAAAATAATTTTCTCTGTGGAAAGCCAGAGCATATGAAAAGGAAACTCCCCCATAGTAGAGACCAAGGTAACTCAGGGAAAGAACCCCCTTCTATATGTCACTAAAGTAAGGGGAAACAGTGGGCAAATCAATGCAGGTCAAAATTTGACAAAAATGGAAACCACGTAAGTAACCAGGTGGGAACCTTCATGAGGGACCATCCCTGGGCCCCACTTCAAAGTGAGGCAATGCCAGCAGCTTTCCTTGGTTAGATGGAAACTCCACAGTCCTCTCTGAGGGCAGTCACCACTGGGAGTGCAGGACTGGACTTACTCTGCCCCAACAAATAAGTGCTAAAAGAAGACGACCCGCCGGGCGCGGTGGCTCACGCCTGTAATCCCAGCACTTTGGGAGGCCGAGGCGGGTGGATCACGAGGTCAAGAGATCGAGACCATCCTGGT